GCGGTGCGGGTGGGGGCAGGAGACAGGATGCTGGGGCAGGTGACAGAGTGCTGGTGGGGGCTGAGGCAGGGTACTCATGGGGAGGGGGAGACTGGCCAGTAGGAGGGGACAGGGACAGCTGGGGCCAGTACCTGGGGATCCTGCAGCTGCGTGCCAGGTCCAGGTCTCAGGAAGCACTTGCGCTGCTTCCCCCTCCCCAAATAGTTGGGGCATTTCCTGAACAGCCGGGTCTGTCACACGCCAGCGACTGCCTTTCCCCTGCTGCCTTCCTGTGTGCAGGGGGAGTATGAGTCCCGGGACTGTAAGCTTCCAGCTCCAACTGCTCAGGAAGCGCGTCCCGCTCTTCTGCTCCCTATAGCAGAGCACGCTTCCTGAGCAGTTGGAACTGGCACGGTCCTGGGACTCCTACTCCCCCTTTCCTGCCTCCCCCCACTCAGGAAGGAAGTTGCCGGCGTGTGACAGACCCAGCGTTTCAGGAAATGCGACACCTGTTTGGGGGAGCAGCCCATGCACTTCCAGAAACCCTGGACATGGAACACACCAGCGGGACTTCCCCCCGCCCCACACACCCTATGCTGCAGGAAGCTGGCACTACCTCCATAGTCGCTGGAGGTAGCATCAGCGGGGCCTTCTTCTTGGGGGTGGGGACGAACGCCTTGCGATCGACTGGTCGAGCCCCCCCCAATTGACCGGTCGATCGCAATCGATGGGTTGGTGACCATGGTGCTACAGCAATAGGCTCAAATTGAATTCTGGCAGTGGAATGTTCTATTCATAAGTATTAGCAGTCCTGTGACGCAACTGCCCCTCTTCTTCCTTAGAGCCCCTAGAATCATAGAGCTGGAAGAGACCTCAGGAGTCATCAAGTCCAGCCCCCTGCCCAAGGCAGGACCAACCCCAACTAAATCAACCCAGCCAGGGCTTTGTCAAGCCGAGACTTAAAAACCTCTAGGACTGGAGAATTCCACCACCACCCTAGGTAACCCATTCCAGTGCTTCACCACCCTCCTAGTAAAATAGTTTTTCCTAATATCCAACCTAGACCTCTCCCACTGTAACTTGAGACCACTGCTCCTTGTTCTGCCATCCGTCACTACTGTGAACAGCCTTTCTCCATCCTCTTTGGAACCTCCCTTCAGGAAGCTGAAGGCTGCTATCAAATCCTGCCTCACTCTTCTCTTCTGCAGACTAAACAAACCCAAATCCCTCAGTCTCTCCTCGTAGGTCATGCACTCCACACCCCTAATCATTTTGGTCGCCCTCCGCCGGACCCTCTCCAATGCGTCCACATCCTTTCTATAGTGGGGGGCCCAAAACTGGACACAATATTCCAGTAGTGGCCTCACCAAAGCCGAATAAAGGAGAATAATCACTTCTCTGGATCTGCTGGCAATGCTCCTCCTAATGCACCCTAATAGGTGATTAGCATTCTTGACTACAAGGGCATGCCCACTGTTGACTCATATCCAGCTTCTCATCCACAGTAATCTCCAGGTCCTTTTCTGCAGAATTGCTACTTAGCCATTTGATCCCCAGCCTGTAACAATGCTTGGGATTCTTCCATCCCAAGTGCAGGACTCTGCACTTGTCCTTGTTGAACCTTATCAGATTTCTTTTGGACCAATCCTCTAATCTGTGTAGGTCACTCTGGACCCTATCTCTGCCCTCCAGCATATCTACCTCTCCCCCTAGCTTAGTGTCATCTGCAGACTTGCTGAGGATGCAATCCATACCTTCATCCAGGTCATTAATAAAGATGTTGAACAAAACTGGTCCAAGAACAGATCCTTGGGGCACTCCGCTAGAAACGGATTGCCAACCTGACATCGAGCCGTTGATCACTACCCGTTGGGCCCAACAGTCTAGCCAGCTTTCTATCCATCTTACAGTCCATTTATCCAATCCATATTCCCTTAACTTACTGACAAGAATATTGTGGGAGACCATATCCAAAACTTTGCTAAAGTCAAGGTATATCACATCCACTGACTTTCCCATATCCACAGAGCCAGTTACCTCATCATAGAAGCTAATCAGATTGGTCAGGCACAACTTGCCCTTCGTGAATCCATGTTGACCATTCCTGATCAGTTTCCCCTCTTCCAAGTGCTTCAGAATGGATTCCTTGAGGATCCCCTCCAAGATTTTTCCGGGGACTGAGGTAAAGCTGACTGGTCTATAGTTCCCTGGATCGTCCTTCTTCCCTTATTTAAAGATGGGCACTACATTTGCTTTTGTCCAACCGTCCAGGATCTCTTCCAATCTCCATGAGTTTTCAAAGATAATGGCCAAAGGCTCCACAATGACATTTGCCAACTCCCTCAGTCCCCTCGGATGCATTAAATCCAGGCCCATGGATTTGTGTATGTTTCGCTTTTCTTGTTCTTTCCCCACCAAGGGCTGTCCACCTCCTTCTCATACTGTGTTGCCTAGTGCATTTATCTGGAAGCTGACCTTGTCCGTGAAGACAGAGGCAAAGAAAGCATTGAGTACTTCAGCTTTCCCCACATCATCTGTCACTAGGTTACCTCCCTCATCCAGTAAGGACCCCTCACCCTCTCTGATCACACTCTTATTGCTAACATGCATGTAGAAGCCTTTCTTGTTACCCTTCATATCCCTTGCTAGCTGCAATTCCAATTGCACTTTTGCCTTCCTGATAACTCCCCTGCATTCTCGAGCAATATATTTATACTCCTCCCTAGTCATTTGTCCAAGTTTCCACTTCTTATAAGCTTCCTTTTTGTGTTTAAGCTCACCAAGGATGTCCCCCAGTAAGCCAATCTGGTCACCTACCATATTTGCTTTTCTTGCTGCACATCGCATTCTTCCTGTGCCTTTAATAAGGCTTCTTTAAAATACTGCCAGTTCTCCTGGACTCCTTTCCCCTTCATGTAAGCATCCCAGGGAATCCTGCCCATCAGTTCTCTGTAGGAGTCAAAGTTTGCTCTTCTGAAGTTCAGGGTGTGTATTTTGCTACTCTCCTTTCTTCCTTTGGTCAGGATCCTGAAATCTACCATTTCATGATCACTGCTGTCCAGGTTGTCATCCACCTCTACTTCCCCTACTAGTACTTCCCTGTTTGTGAGCAGCAGGTCAAGCTGCGCATGGCCCCTGGTCGGATCCTTCAGCACTTGTACCAAGTTGTTATCCCCAACATTCTCCAAAAACTTCCTGGATTGTCTGTGTACTGCTGTATTGGTCTCCCAACAGATGTTAGGGTGATTAAAGTTGCCCATGAGAACCAGGGCCTGCTATCTGGAAGCTTCTCTCAGTTGTCCAAAGAAAGCCTCATCTATCTCATCCACCTGATCCGGCGGTCTATAGCAGACACCAACCACAACATCACCCCTCTAAACTTAACCCATAGACTCTCAACAGTCTTTTTTCTCTCTAAATACTGGAGCTCTGAGCAATCATACTGCTCTCTTACATACAATGCAACTCCTCCTCCTCTTCTCCCCCACCTGTTCTTCCTGAACAGTTTATACCCTTCCACGACAGTGCTCCAGTCATGCGAGTCATCCCACCAAGTCTCTGTTATTCCAATCAAATCACAGTTCTTCGACTGGGCTAGGGCTTCTAACTCTTCCTGTTTGTTTCCCAGGCTTCTCACATTTGTGTACAAACACCTTAGATAACCAGTTGATCGCCCTACCTTCTCCATTTGAATAAGGGGTCCTCCTTTGTTGCTCGTTCCTCCTTGTGATTCTTCCCGGTGTCCAACTGCCTCACTAACCTCTGGGCTTTGGTCACCGTCCCCCAACGAACCTAGTTTAAAGCCCTCCTCGCTAGGTTTGCAAGCCTGCCCGCGAAGATGCTCTTTCCTCTCTTGGTTAGGTGGAGCCCATCTCTTCCTAACAATCCTTGTGCCCAGAACAGAGTCCCATGGTCAAAGAAACCAAAGCCCTCTCTCCGACACCACCTGCGCAACCACGCATTTACTTCCTCAATTCGACGATCCCTACCTGCACCTTTCCCTTCAACCGGAAGGATGAACAAGAACACCACTTGCGCTTCAAATTCCTTGATCCTTCTTCCCAGCACTACATAATCTGCTGTGACTCGCTCAAGGTCATTCTTGCCTTTCCTTCAGGAGCTTCACTTACCTGCTGGGTAAGAACTGCTGGGATTGCCCCAGGCCCCACACATGGTCTCTGTTACAGATTGAATCACCTCTGGTGCCACTGGAGTAGTTGCATTGTAATCCATGTAAACCTTGCTGTAGGTAAGGAAGCAGAGAAAGAGAGTGCACAAACAGGAAGAGAGTCAGTTGTCAGGAGGATTAAACAATGAATGTTACAGCTCTATCAGAGAGCAAGCTCTTCTTTACACTAAAATATTGCTTCAACCTGGTTTCATTGTCCTCCTGCTTCCTCCAATAAGATCATAGCATGAGAAAAGAATGATCACCTCACCCTCCAAAAAAAACCTGCAAGACCACAGTCCTGACCATGACTATTTCAGAAGAGATCACAAGAGATTCTTAAGTCAGACATTTTGACCTAAGACTTAATCATAACCTCCATGAATACCTAGGCCTAAAACCTGTTGCTAGTCTAATGAATTTTAGATTTATCAGCAACTCAGAAAAAATTCAACCCTCATGGTCTTTCTCTCTATACCAACTAGGAAAAATAGAGAAGTCACTAACTCACCTTTCCACTGATTTATTTTGTTCCCCATCACACTCCTTATCCACAGCGGTTTTTCTCCCATCATTTGATAGCACCATTTTTTCCACTTGGTCCCCTTCCATTCTGCAGAAATCTACATATAAAATCAGTAAGGACAGTAGAAGTCTAAGCTTAACAAACACACGTACAGACTTGAGTCTCCTGATCTTATTGTGATTTCTACTTTAAACACAAGTGTACAGAGTTTGTTTCATTCTTCCCTAAACATATAAACTTCCCTAAACTTAATAGTATTCACAGAATTCTTGGTGTGAGGCTGAAATGCTGAATGGTGACCCTCTCTAGTAATTTAGTAAACATATCTCTATAACAACATTTCTGAGTTCTATTCATGCCTCTCTTTCCAGTGAAGTTTTAATAATGAGATTGAAAGGTTCGTTTATACTTTGCACATGATGTACATTTTGAGGAATGCTCTAGTGAAGAGGATTGGGGAGATTATATCAAGAACCCCCTCTCTCTACATCTTCCCTATACCATTTGTGGAAAATATCCTCATCCTTTAAAGTGGTTGTGATTCTCTCTGACAATTCTTTGAGACCTTCTATTGAACTGTGCAATCCACTGATCCATCACCCTATAGTAGCCTTGTCTGTGGTGTGGGGAAATGCAATATTTACACACCAGAGTTTAACCTACTCTTTCCATGCAGAAGGCAAAACTATATTTTTAGGGATTGTCTGTAAGTCAAGTCTGTATAACAAGGGCCATACGCTTCTCTCAGTCTACAGTGAAGTTCTCGTCAATAACAAATGGAAGCTTGTACTGTACCAAAATCAGGGTAGAATATTGGTCTCATGTACCTCATATTTTAGCTGGCAAAGTTATAGTTGCATTCAGCATCACTCAGTAGGAAAAGGCAACACTAATGGCCCTGAAAGTAATCTGGTACATCTGTCCTTGGTTTATCAGTCTACTTGTCTACAATTTCCTGATGTACGCAATTGCAAGAATTGTACAAATTAAGACTGCAGTTGCACACCTACACTACTTTAAAATCTGGCTATTAAAGGGTCTTAAAAGTTAAAATGCTAGTCAGTTGGCTGGGACAGTTTACACGCCTCAGAGCCTTGATTCAGCTGGCTGCAGCTTCAAACATCACTTTGAGTACTATTTCACTTGCTTCATTTTGGCAAATTCTATTCATAATCATAAGGACCAGAAGTTTTTCCTTTAAAATGTGGAAGCTTCTTTTCTGCAGAATCTGAATTTGTCCCTAGACAAGTTAAACACCTCAAGGGCAAAATATGAATGAATATCACAGAATGAGTGAATGTGGTGGTTGTTTTTTTCAAGTAAGAGAATTATCTGGCCACCACACTATCATAGGCTCACTAAAGTGTACTTAGATATAAAAGAAGAGCAGTATTAAGAGAGGAAGTAATGAAAGCAAAATGAGTGAGGCTATGAATATTCACTAAGCATGCATTAAGAGTACAAATATTTGTCATCTAAGGCAATATATAAAATATTCCTTTCCAGAAGTAAAAGGCTAAAGTTTTAGCACGTAATTTTTTGTTGTCCACAAAGATAAAGTAGTCATGTTGCAAACCAAACGAAGAATACAAGAATCACTTCCACTCTCAAAAGTGATCTGATACATAAAAAAAATAACAAAAAGCCTCCCAACATGATTTCTGCATGGCCATTAAAAAAAAAAAGTGAAATAAACAAATGTGTTATTTTAAACAGTAGTAAAATCCAATGAACACACTACTCCCTTAGCTATGAACATGAAAAAAAAATGTACCAGCTATAGGCAAAAACTCTGTAGGTAAGTGCTATTTCCTCCACTCAGTCCATCCCTCCCAATGCACCTTAAGAGTGTGTCTGCAGTGCACCCTTACCTTGACATAAGCTTCACGATTTGTGCGACGCAAATTGCATACCTCATTTTGAGGTAATTTTGAAATAACTTATTTCAAAATTTGGTGCTGTCTACACAGCACTTATTTCAAAAGAAATCACTATTCTGAAACATCCCTTACTCCTCATGGAATGAGGTTGACAGGGATGATGGAATAGTGAGCCTCTTCTATTTTGAAAATAGACGCTCAAAAGATGCGAAATAGCGCTGCAGTGTAGACACAGCCTAAATTAGATGAGTAATTCTCCTGACAGGCTACTTTTCTGGGCCATCCAAATCGCTGACAGTTGTACAACTGCTTTAAGCAAACTGTCCATCAATTTCCCAGATTACACCATCAAATTCTCTTAATCTAAATCAGATTAAAATGTTACATTTCTCGTGCTTGAATAGCTGGGAAATTTTTCGGTTGATCAACTTTCTTTTTTTTTTGAAAAATTGCTAATAAAAAAGAAATCTGTCAAAATAGCTTTATTAGCAAATTATATTACAGGACTTTGAGGTTCGTGTATTGAAGAGAGATCAGAAGGAGGGCTGTCAATCACAGTTAAAGCAAGCTATTAACACAAAACAATTTAACTAGATTTAAAATATTAGTCACTATTAATTGCAGTTTTAATAGCACTATTAAATAATAAAATACCAATTTAAAATTATTATAAATATTTTGGATGTTTTCTACATGTTTAAATATATGGATTTCAAATGTAACATGTACAGTGCTCACTTTGTACAATTTTTATTACAAATATTTGCACTGTACAAAACAAAAATAGTATTTTTCAATTCACTTCCATAGAAGTACTGTAGTTCAGTTTCTTTATTGTAAAAATGCAACTTACATTATAATACAGATTTATTATTATTTTTACATAACCACACATGAAAACAAAACACTCGAACAACAAAACATCCAGTCAGTCTACTTCTTGTTCAGCCAATCACTAAGACAAACAAGGCTGTATACATTTGCAAGAGCTAGGAGAGCTTCTTATTTACAATATCATCTGAAAATGAATACAGGCTTATTTTCATGTCAGATAGACCAATGTTCATATGCCCCTTCATATTCTGACTACCATTCCAGTGGACATGATTCCATGCTGAGGAGAGATTATGCTTGATAACAATCCAAAGAAGTATGGATGGATGGATCTTCATTTTCATCATCTGAGTCGGATGCCTCCAACAGAAGGTTAAATTTTCTTTTTTGATGATTTAGGTTCTGTAGTTTCTGCACTGGAGTGTTGCAATTTTAAGTCTTCTGATGTTCTGCATCTTGTGTGTCAGATTTTGGATGGCACTTCAGATTCTTAAATCTTAATACTATTTATTTTACCTTTTTTCCAGTACAAATATTTGTAATAGTATAGAGACAGTACACTTCACTTTGTATCCTGTAATTAAAATCCATATATTTGAAAACGTAGAAAAACATCCACACATTTATAATAAACTTAAATAGGTATTCTATTGTTTAACAGTGCAATTGAAACTGCAATTAATTGTAACTATTTTAATCTTCCAATAGTGATTTTTAAAAAACTGATTGACAGCTCTGCTCAGAAGAGAATTTTCTGATTGTTCACTTGTCAAACAGGAATGGAGAGCAGTATTAAATAATATTAAAAGAAAAAATGCTTTGAAAGTAGTAATTGCAAATGAGGGATGTGAACAGGTAACCAGTTAACTGCAGGCAGGGGCTTGGGCAGGCTAGAATGGCCCTCCCACCTGACCTTTTAATCAGTTACCCCAGTGCTCTCCAACCTTTTTACACCCAAGATCACTTTTTAAATGACAGAACAAGCCAAGATCTACCACCCCGCCCCTTCCTTGAAGCCCCGCCCTCTCTATTCTCCTCCTCTCCATCACTTGCTATCCCCAACCCTTATACTGCTGATTTTTCCCCCCCAATTCTTCTGTAGGAAGAAGTTTTTCCAACATTTGGCCGTCTAGATTTGACCAAATGTCAGAAAACCCCTTCTTTTGGAAGCCCCCTTATTCCTCATGGAAAGAGGAATATAGGGGGTGACCAAAATATCATGTTTGCTCTTCCACTAAAAGAAGTGGAAGAACAAACGTATCCCTACATGCAGAAGAATTTTTCTGGGATATCTCTGGAATCCTGAAAAACTCCTGCAGTCTAGCCATACCCTTGCTGAGCTGAGACAGGATGTGTAGGCTCTGGGGTGGGAATGAGGGATTTGGGTGTGGGAAGGGGTGAGAGGTGCAAGCTCTGTGAGGAAATCTGGATGCAGGAGGAAGTGGAGAAGGGAACGCTGGCTCAGGGAGGGGGCTCCAGGCCGGGCAGTGTTGGGGTGAGATGTAGGATTAGGGTAGTAAGTAAGCCACAGACTTCTGCATGTGAAGGTTCAAGAATTTGGGTTGGGGTATATGAGAGTTGAGGGGCAGGGGGTTCCAGTGTATGATAGGCTCAGATATAGGGTCTGGGGGAAAGGAATGCTAGTGCAGGAGTGGTATGATGCTGTGGCCAGATGGGGGCTTGGCCCAATGGCCAGGCTTCATTTTCAAATAAAATACTATGTCAAACACAAAAAGTTTCTGCATTATCTTTGTTTCTGAAAAGGGCAGGGAACCTGTTTAGAGTCAGGGGTCACTGACCCACAGAAAAGACAGTTGGGGCCACACAAGATGCAAAAAACCCCTCCAAACCCTCCCCCCCCCCAAGCTTCACTAATGTGGCCCCAACTGTGTTGGTGGGAGCAGGGGACATAGTACTGGGGAAGGGTGGTAGTGGATGCTTCGGCAGGGGACAGAGTTCTGGGGACGGTAGAGGGGAGAGGGGACAGGGTGCCAGTGGGGACAGGTTTCTGAGGCTGGGGAGTGAGAAGAGGGAACAGGGGGAAGCTGGAGAGAAGGAACAGGCAAGTGGGGAGAGGGGAGCAGTGGGAGGAGGGAGTCC